GAGAAGAACTTTGATCCGATCAATCAAGAAGGTAATTATTCAAGGAAAAGTCACAAGCAAAAGCAGTTATTATAGTGAAAGGCATATGACTATCTCGTCAGATTCGAATTCGAGCTTTGATAAATACCTTTTACCAGTTACTAATGGCTGATTTTAGTGAAGAATCCATACCAGATATAGAACTCACCTGGACAATGATTTGAGGTTCAAAGTAGAGAACTTAGTGAGGGATTATAGGCCAGAAAAAATATTCGTGTATTCTCAAAATGACAATTGCATTTATATTGAGGCTTATATTGTGAGCAGCATAAATTGGTTTATTTGCTTGATTTATAGCTTTGTGGTGGTAAAGGAGAGGTGGCGATTGCTATAAAATGAAAGATACTTGATATATATACTATTCTAGAAGCTACATGTCATATTTGGTGAGTCCAGCTCTTATTATTTACCAAAATTGCTCAAAAAACCTGATTTCGATATCGATTTTTATCCATTACTTGGAAACGGGGTAAGGTTTCGAATATCGGAAACAAACTCTCATCTGCGCGGGCATTAGGAGGATCTACAGCTAAAATTTCAAGTCTCTAGCTCTTATAGGTTCTGATATCCTTATATACATACGGACGGACGGACGGACGGACGGTTCAGGGTATAAAAAGGAACATTTTTGGCCCCATATAAAGTGTTAAAAGTAAACAAGAGGTTCTAGTAGGGAGCTCCTGACTAGGGGATACCCTGAACCCTCTTACTCCAACACTAAATTCAGCTCTCGCTACGCGCTCGTTTGCTTTAGTAATAATAAAGATAAATTAAAAAAAAAAGTTCCATTGATGCCTCCTCTACTCAACAGCCACACCAGCCAAAAAAAAAAAATAGTCTCCTCCATAGGGTTCGAGCTCGCTACTTACTGCACCGCTTGCCGCCGCCTCTATTCAAGAGCCACACCAATAACTGGGACGCACTGAGAAGAAAACCAATTAAAATAGCAGCACAGAAAACAATTCAATCGCAATTGCAATGCTGTTGATAGAATTCAAAGCAGACGTGCATGAATGTGTGTGTGTACATGCACACAGAAATTCTTAAAATTTGCGCTTGATGCTGCTAACACGTGCGCACATAACTTTTGTTTCTTAACCGATCTTAATAAAATTATCGACAGTACATCTTATTATGCCATAGAATATTTTTGTATTCTCAAAAAGTCAATTGCTTATAACTTGTGGCTTAAATTGGTCGGCAATACAAGTTGGATTATTAACTTGATTTATGGCTATGCGGTGGTAGCGGGGAGGTGGCGATAGGTACAAAATGAAAGATACTTGATATATATGTATATACTATTCTAGAAGCGACATGTCAAGTTTGGTGACTCTAGCTCATATTATTTGCCGAAATTGCTCAAAAAACAGGATTTCGATATCGATTTTTATCGATTACTTGGAAACGGGGCAAGTTATCGAATATCGGAAACAAACTCGATCTGCGCGGGCACTAGGAGGACCTACCGCTAACATTTCAAGTCTCTAGCTCTTATAGGTTCTGATATCCTTGCGTTCATACATACGGACGGAGGAACGGACAGACAGAATTGACATGGCTAGATCGAATCGGTTATTGATGCTGATCAAGAATATATATACTTTATAGGGTCGGAGATGCTTCCTTCTGCCTGTAACATACATTTGCACAAATACATTATACCCATTTTAATGGGTTCAGGGTATAAAAACAAGCATGCTAGATACGAAATTGAGAAACTTGGCATTGGGGAAGAACAGTGCCGGAGTATAGATGTGGGATTCCTTCGGGTCAAAGGACGCGTCTGGACGGAATATAGTAGGAACTCTAGAAGCCAAGCGATACAAAATGACACCCAGTAATCGTTGTTTCTCTTCGCTCATTTGTATCTTTGAAGTTATGCGTCAAATGGCAGGCTGCGCCATGTTATGAAATTAGACTTACTCACTTTGCATTTAGACATTGTCAAAAGATCTTAAATCAAGAATAGGTTGTCATTGTCAACAAAACTGAAAACGTAAAATCTGTCAGTATTATCTTGAACTTAGACTATTAAATATTGGCATCGACGATTTTCATATATTATGCTCTTATGGTGAGAATCTTAAAGCCGGCAAATAAACTTTCGTTCATTATACCCTAAAACCGATACGACAAATTTCCACAGTTGTGAATAGAATTTCCAAAATTACTGAAGCACGTATTCACGACGAAACCTAAAACTTAATCCTGACAACCTTTGACCCACATTTTTCACTGAGGCGGCCTGAAGAGTGTAAAATATGTCACAATTGGTTTTTTTTAAAGATCTTGCCATTGAGATTGCACCCGATAATTCTTGCACCTATTCAATATTTGACCCACATTTATCGTCCAAGTGGGTAGATTTTGCAAAAAGAGTGAAGTGTGAATTTTCAAAAAGATTTTTAAGATCTTAAAGACATTTAGTTGAAAAAAAAGTCCATATAACCGTTTTTCGCCACGTACTCAGTTTTTATGTGAGGCTTTGGAAAATAATTTGCAGAAAATCAGAAAAAAATTTTGATTTGCATATACCACAGAGGAAGCTGGGTGTGTGCGAATGGTGTGGTAAACGTCTGAACTGAATTTTCGTAAAGGACTTTGGAAATGAATTTGAGCGCGAAGTCACCCACCAAATCTTTGACTCCCTTTTATACCAAGGAGAAATGAATTTTCCGAAAACTGAGAAATTGCACAAAGATCTCTGAAAATGGATCGGATGGTATACAAAAAAAGTTCATTTAATTTTTCGTATGCGTAAGACATTTTATGATAAAGTTATAATACCCTCTACAACGGTATAGAATCGGAAGTTAACTATGCATATTAACTTCCTAAGAAGTATTCTTAATTGCATTACTTAATCATTATTCCAAAAAAATGTTTAATGGTTTTACAAATCAATTTTCAACATTTCGTTTTCTTTTAAATGCTGAAAATTGATATATTTATATATATACATATATATTATTATTATATTAAATATATATATTTAATCTGGAAGATATGCATTTTTCGCTTGGTCAAAACAATTTCTTCACATACTGTACCGGTTTCTTTGAGATAGGTTCTAAATTTGCGTACATATTGAACGGCAACGAGAATCGTAGTAAGCAGATTGATTTAAGTGTTTTTTCAATTACAAAAGAAAAAAAACACATTAGCCATAAAAATAATAAACTGATTTCCGTGGCTCCAGAATTGAATTGCTATGTGAAAACAGTGCACCGGGTTTCGCGAAAATAACGCTAATGGTAAGTAAGACTTTTTTAAACATCATACATTATCCACTGATGTTCTGAACATGCACCAGTTTCTTATGTCGTATTATTTATCGGCTTGAAGGGACTTGGATTTTCACCAGCAAAAATATCACGAAAAAGCAAGAATATTGATGATAGGCAATATGCGACAATTTTTACATATTACAAATTATTATTACAATTATTGCGTCTGCAGGAAGTAATCAGTGAACCATTGTACAATGTACATAAATACATACATACATAAGTATACATACGTAAGCGTCTTTTTGGAGATTCATTCGTAAGAACAAATTAAATTAATAAAATGGCTTTTAATGTGTATTATATACCAATCGCTTGCTTAGTCCTGATGGAGCGTTTCGAAAACCCTTAATTGCTTGGAAAACACCGCCTCCGATACAACCCATGGCGAAAGCACCACCACAATCATCCACAATTCGGTAAGGACATGGTTCGCGTGCATATTCTTCCATTATAGTGCTGGTTATCTGTAAATAAACAACACCATTTATTCAAACAAGTTAACAAATAATTAACTACATGAAAGAAATTACTTAACACGCTACAATAAACTGAATTAGGTATGCACGATACACATCGATTTAATAAAAATCGATGTTTTCTCGAATCGAAATAATTTTATATATCGAATAATTCAATATCAACGCATACAATTATAGCACTAACCAAAGAACATATAGATGGGACATGAGGTGTTACCAAAGTGAACACAAAATATATCGGTGCATCTGGTCCAACGAGCGAGTAAGATATACATACATATGATGTCTTTTGATCGCTTACACTACAGGAAAATGCTTGGCTTACTCTCTTCCATATGATTTATGCGATAGAACGGCAGACTTTTTCCACTATGCTAAAAAAAGTTATATTTTCAAATATCACATATTGATGTTCCATTGGCAAGTGTCGGTTGTCGGTAACTTGTGAGTGGGAAAAGTACCGCTTCTTTAAATAAACAGCTGATCGAGTTGCTTTGATTTACCTTTTAAAAGTCAAACAACACTACCTCGAAGTAAGGGCTCCATTTAATGAACTCTGCGGGATTTGGCCAACTTTAAATGTTAAAAACTGTGGAATTATTATAATTTAAAATTATAACTTTCAGTATCGATTGTTTGCTTAGTTGGTTGGGTGCGATATTATCGGCCACGCCGATATCTTTTTGTCATAGGGTCAGAGTCTCGGGGGTGAAGCTGGGCCCACAGTGGATCCCAATTTATTGAAGGGTGGCAACGCCGGGCTTGCGATCCACGGAGCCAAAAGCGGCGATTGCTATTGGCCGCCCGATACGCTCTTATAGAGACTATAAGGAGAGCGGATCGCATGCCCTTGGATATGCCCTTGGCCTTCATTTGGGCCGTTGACCCAAAAAAATGCACATGTGCAGATGGGCAGCAACGGTGCTCGCCTCACAAATGAACGCGTGATCCGAAATTCGGCACCAATGTTGGTGCCCAAATGTACAGCAGCGAGTTCGATTTGATCAGCGGTCAACGGCGGGCGTGCCAGCTCGAAGCGAGCTTAAAGTTATATTTTTACATGTCGGCCCCATAAAAAAAAATGTTTTCTGGAAAAGTTTTCCGCAAATAAAATTTTAAATAAATGAACATTGTCGCAAAACATTTAATTTTCTCTAAATCGGCGGCCGTAAATCAAAAGAAAAGAAACTTGTGACGTGCGGCTAAATTTATTCATACAATTAATGCTCAGAAGGTAATATAACCAAAGGAAAACAAAATAAAATATAAGTACCAGCCAAGGAGCCACGCAGAGGACGACCAGCTGTTTCTCCCGTCTCACAAGCCGTTATCTGTGACCCGGCCAGTTTTGGCTAAGCGGCGCACCTCATCCAAGCCTCGGCGCAACCCTAAAGAGACGAGCCACCGACGACCGAAGAATCCAACAGCGAAGAATCGGACACAGGCGAGACCACGCCCATATCCTCCAAGTGAGTCTGTCCCATTTCGCCCCTCCTCGCCCGAGTCGTTGGCAGAGTCAGACGTAGACTCCTGATTGTGCTCCCTGAAAGAGAGCAGATTTTTGTAGTTGTTAAATTTAGTTTTTTTTTGTTTGTAAGTCAAGAATATATAATATATACTAGTTTCACGTAAGACATTTTCGAAAGTGTGAACAGTGAAGGAATGGCCCCAAAGATTATTGCTGGTGCCAAATATATAAAAAAAGAAATAATTAGATTTTTGATCAATTTTGCACGAGCTATACCAGCTTATACATATATAAATACATATTTCATACACCATATGTGCAGAATAACCATTATGATGGCCCTTACCGCCCCCACCCAGAGAGCTCTTTAGGCAGGCAAGGTGTTATAAGCACTTTTGACAAACATAATTACATTAATTAATTAACTGATGTTTTTATCTTTCCCCTCGTTTCTTTTTTCTTCTTCTTTTGTTGACTGGCAATAACTTTGCTCGCAGTGTTTCGTCGCCTGTTGCATTTATCGTTGTTAAAGTAAATAAAATATATTCTGTAATATAAATTGAAATTTTAGAAATTAATACACATTGTCCATAATCACAAGTATATGCAACAATTGTACGCACCTGGTGCAGAAATGTTCACGTGCATGATAATGTGAATAAGTGAATGGAGATACCTTGATAAATAAATAGAAATAAAAAACATTAATTGTTAATAATCATAAGGAATGCAACCAATTATACGCACATATTGAAGAGAGAAATGTCCGACTAAGTCTCAACTGATGGGGAGAGGGGGCATAACAGCCGACACGGGCTGATGCAGGCCGTCTAGTGGCCAAAATATGGGAGACGAGATCAGGTGATCATCTCATACGCTGGGTCCGGAACCGGGACCCGATCTGGAAGAGTAAAGTGGATAAAAAGTGTTTTTGTGTTAATTTATATTGAGCGTCTCATCTATATTGTTTACGTTTGCTTGTTGTTACAGCTGTTAGTGTTGTTCACTTGTTAGAAGTTCCGATTGTTTGTTGTTATCGATTATGTGGTTCATTTTGAATAGTGTTGTTTAGATATGTTTTGCTACAGACGCTGTAGCTTTGTTGTTATCGATTGTGCGGACTGCGGGCCAGGGATGGGACTACACCCAGAGAAACCGATGAGCCATCCGGCGCGGCCCACTGAGAAACAAGCAGTACCGTAACAAATTTAAAGTCACCGCTTACCTTCGTTGCAATATCAGCTGTTTATGGTAGTGAACACATTCACTTTCTTCACAACTTCGATAGAAAACTCGATAAATCATCGCAAAAAACACGAACTGTTCGGGGCGAATTTACACATTTTTAAAAATTGTGACATTTTTGAAAAATTTGTGATATGTATTTTCTTATGGAAAAACGTACAGGCCGCATTTTACACATTTTGCAAAAGTTTGACATTTTCAGATATGTGTAAGAAATGTGGTCAGTGGACAGAGGCTGCAATTTTTAAAGATGTTAGATGTTGCCAATGTGTTTCACTTCTTTAATGAATAGCATTCGTTCCCTGAAAATGTACTAAGGTGAAATGCCTATCAAACTTTTCTGTAATTCTGAAAGATAGCGCCATAGCTAATCAGATTATAAACAGCTTGTTTCTCTGTTCCTGTTACTCACCAAGCTTTTAAATATATTTACTTTATTTAATATTGTATCATGGTACTAACGAGAAAGAAGTTTTTTGTGGAAATATTATTAAAATAAACGGACTATAGAAGCGGCCATACGCGGATTGTGACGAAAAATTTCATAACAACAGAAATTCTATAAAGAAAATGTATTATTTTATACTACCGGGCTTTCCCCAGCTATGCTCGTGGCAAGTTTTGTGTTTCCTCTTGTTACGGGCAGCAATAATATTTAAAAAATAATCCCACACCAAACAATATGCTGTGTTTTGGATTGTCAGCTGAAGGAAAGTTATTGATAGATCGATGGTTGCGCAATTGTCGGAGCCACCACATCCTTAGCGTGACTCGGGACATTTTTGAAAGCTAAAGCGGTTTTTGTTATTGGGAGCAAACAAAGTAAGAAAAGAAAATATCCCAGAGTCAAGTGCAAGTCGGCCGCACACAAAAAAAAATCTTAAATTATAGAAAAGGCGAATTTTCGGTAATGTGAAAAATATAAAATACAATAAAGTGAACAAAAGAATACAAAAAATGTATGTATATATGTTCGATTAAATTTAATAGTATTGGTAAAACTTAATGTAATAATTGTTGTATTATTATAATTAAAAGACTTTAATTATTTAAGCTGTATGATATTTCATAGTTTATTGTCTTGTTATCTTCAGCATCTTTTCTTGGTGATGGTTGACGCTCAACTTGCTATTCGATATATCTAGTGACTTGCATTGATGGGTATTCCTTATAACTACATACACATCGACTAGCAGCGACACCTTGTGACGATTATACTTGTTTACTATTGAACAAGCAATATTATTACACGCATTTTTCTTTTAAAAGATCTTAAGGCTTAAATTAAAGTTCTATTTGACTATGTGATAAGAAGTTATTGACCTCACATGGTTGTTACATTATATTAATTCCAACCATACCGTTGAGGTGGACGACTACCGCGAGCACTACGAGTTTTCCTAACATCTGGTTCATTAACTAACACTGGTTCGGGTGTCTCTTGGTCGCTTCCCGACTCGCTTCTGAATCCGAACTACCAGCAGTTTGATATTCATCTGATGATACATTACTATCATCCAACACTGGTAGACCTGGTTCATCCACATATAATTGGTTCACTGCCATTGTTAACGTTGTCTTGTCTGTTGCGCCCAAGTGGAGGTACTATTTCAATCGGTTTCAAATTATCAGGACCAGCTACGTTACATTTGACATTTTCTTCAAACATTACTTCTCCCCCATTCATTTCATTATTCTTAGTCTTGGCAATGAACCGTCGGTTGCGTCTAAAATAGTTTTCGAAATTGTCCTTAATGATATACGATCGACCATTACATTACACACAATTGTTCCATAATTCCATTCTTTTCCATTTGTCTTAAAGATAACTAGATCACCCAAATTCAATACTGGTAGTGCTCTTGCATTCCGGTCATAATAATATTTTTGCTTTTCATTTTTTTCTTTAATTTTGTTTTGGATAGTTTTCTCACTCAAATTATCACGACTCAATAGAGAATGCGAAATCGGCATTCTCGTATTTACCAGCCGACCAAAAAACAACTGGGCCGGTGCCAGTCCCATGCTTGCAACAGTAGTTGTGTTATATTCCAAAATTCTATATTGATAGTTTTCTGTGTCTCTAGCTTCAATGCAACGTTTCAGCATATTCTTAGCAATCGCAACGCCTTTCTCAGCTAACCCATTGCTTTGTGGGTACCGAGGGCTTGAGAATTTCATAACAATATTATGATCAGCCGCAAATGTTTCAAATTCCCGAGAATTAAATGGCACATTATCCGCCCTGATTACAGTTGGATATCCCAGTTTGTTGAAATTACTCTTCAACTTGCTAATAATGTGACTTGCCGTTTTATTGTTTACATGTTCCACAATTAAAAATCCTGAGTATGCATCAATAACTGACAAGAAGTCCTGTCCTGCATATTCAAACAAGTCAGCAGAGATTACCTGAAACGGATACTTAGGTAGCTCTTCTTGAACCAGCTTTTCTTTTTGATTGTTTCGTTTGAATTTTTCACAAATGTCACAAGATTTAACGATCTCCTTTATCTGACCGTTCATCTTAGGCCAATAATAAAGCGCTCTTGCACGTGCAAGAGTTTTTTCAATTCCCAAATGTGGTGCATGTAACCACGTTCCTACTTTCTCCTGTAATTCTGATGGAATTACGAGTCGATTATCACAAAAAAGTAAGCCATTCTCAAAATGCAGTTCGATTTTTAACCTATGAAAACTTGTCCAGTTGGTAATTTGGCCAACCCATCTCTACATATCGACAAATTTTCAAATAAACTTCATCACGTTCAATGGTGGACCGGTATAAATCTGTGGCGATCTGGCAACACAGGAACTGATACATTTTAAGTTTTTTCTCTTTGATAAGTTTGGTTACACTAACTTTGAATTTCACCATATTACGAAAAGCACGTACAACCTCCTTCTATCTCGAGCTCTCTACCTATCGACATCTACGCATCTAAATATTCACTTTTTTGTGTATAATAAATAAAGTTTAAACTGAAATATTTTACTTGTGTTAACGGATGTAGAATTTGACTATTAAGTTCCATCAAAATAACCAAATTGGTGACCCCCGACAATAACCAAAGTGTGCGCAACTCAGGAGAGACGGAGCGCCTACTTAAATTGCAAACATCACCAACAGGCATACTTCAAGATCATACTAAAGTTTTCGCCAATTCAATTCAGAATTATAAGCTAATTGACACACTCATATACATAGCTTTGCTGCGACATATTCACACAAAGATAGACATTTTGCGCAGTTCCACGAAATACATGACGCTTAAAATACAAAATGGAGGACGAGAATAATGCTAGCGCTCACATTGAGAACAGCAATGCAGAAGCTGCAAACAATGTAAATTCTGTTTTCGTCAAGATGCCCTTTCCTCAACTACACACGGTTACAAACATTGAAATGTTTTTTACAAAGCTAGAAAGTTAGTTTCTTTTACAAGGCATAGGCTTACGAAAGGAACACGAGAAGTACGCAGCCGTCATCACATATGCGGATCCCAAATACTTAGATCAAGTTCACGATCTTGTTCAAAACGAGCCTCAAACAAATCCATACACTACACTCAAACAAGCCATCCTGGCAAAGTTCGCTGAGTCAGAGATGACACGCCTCGACAAACTTGCCACTGGCATTCAACTTGGTGATGGACGTCCAACCCATCTCCTCAGCCAACTACAGCAAACCAACGCTAATAACGACGAATCAGTTGTACGTCGTTATTGGATTAAACGCCTACCTCCTGCAGCTCGCGCTGTCATCGCAGGTATTCTTGAGACTTCCCCAAATACAACACTATCGCAACTTGCAACAGCCGCTGACGCCGTAATGGATACACTAAGTTATACTTCATGTGATAACGTCGCAGTGCTTTCCCGTAACAACACTGCAACTGAGCATCAAATGGACAACCGCATCAGTACGATTGAAAAACGTCTGGATGCCCAGGACATAATGTTTCAAAAGATCAATACAAAACTTGGTCAGCTGCTCAACAGCAATAACAACAACGGAAATCGACGCACTCGCAGTCGCAATCGATTACAAACCAACCGCAGCAATGCACAGGCGATCGCACAGGCCGATTCAAATCAAAATTGCTGGTATCATAACAAGTATGGCTGCAGTGCCCAACACTGCATTGCACCATGTTCCTTTAATCGAACAAACACCAACAACCAAAAAAACTAGCACCGTCGAAGAAAATCAAATTGGCCACTTCGATGGCCAATCTGTTCATGCCATAAAAAATTATTCCAAGCTTAGTTTAAACGTTCACAGTATCACAACCTCTAATCGACTATTTATTCCAGATACAAAGTCTGGTAAAAAGTTCCTTATCGACACTGGCGCTGATGTGTCAGTCATACCTTCTGCAGCCATAAACCGACGTTTTTTAGCCACCAGCGAAAACCCTCTTTTTGCTGCTAACGGCACTACCATTAAAACATATGGCTCAACCCGTCTCACTCTCATTGCTCATACAAAATTTCCAATCATTCGATCAGATTTCCTACAGCACTATAAACTTCTTGTCAATATTAAAGATGGTAAATTAATCGACGCTCAAACTTTGATAGCACGTCAAGGTGTCTGCAGCCTTCGATCTTTAACAACGTTAAAAACGTTTAACGCATCCTGTGAGTTCGCCCGGCTGCTGGAGGAATTCAAGGACATCACACAACTCAATGCCTTATCACCGAAGCACACAACATCTAGTGTAACTCACTGCATTGAGACAAAAGGCCCACCAACATTCGCAAGACCTCGTCGACTCACTCCATACAAATTTAAGGCTGCCAAAATGGAATTCGAGTTCTTGCTTAAAATAGGTGTGTACCGACAATCGAAAAGCGCATACGCATCGCCGTTGCACATGGTCCGCAAGCAAACAGGCGAATGGCGGCCATGTGGTGATTACCGCGCCCTCAACGCACAAACTGTTCCGGATAGGTATCCACTTCCACACATACAAGACTGTACACATATTTTTCATGGCAAGAAAATATTCTCAAAAATTGATCTTAACCGTGCATATCAACAGATCCCCATCGAACCAGGCGACATCCCAAAGACTGCAATAACCACACCATTTGGATTATTTGAGTTAACACACATGACATTTGGATTGTGCAACGCTGCACAAACCTTCCAAAGGTACATGCATTCCGCACTGAGGGATTTAGACTTTGTTTTCGTCTATATAGATGATATCGCCGTTGCATCAGACAATATGGCGCAACACCAAATCCATCTTCGGCAAGTTTTTGAACGACTTCGACGTTTTCATCTCAAAATCAACTCTAGCAAATGTCGTTTCGGTCAAACATCAATCGAGTTTCTTGGGCATTTGATCGATCATAGTGGCATCAAACCATTACCAGACAAAGTGAAAACCATCATCGAATTTCCCTTGCCCACAGTCGCAAAAGAACTGAAACGTTTTTTGGCAATGATTAACTTTTATCGAAGATTCCTGCCAAAAGCAATCACCCATCACGCACCACTGGTACAATTAATACCGGGTAACAAAAAAAAACGGCTCAACTCCAATAACTTGAACAGGTGACACGCTGAATCATTTAGAGAAATGCAAGCGTTCTCTAGCTGCAGCAACCCTTTTGGTACATCCTGCTCCAGATGCTCAGTTATTTCTCAGCACGGACGGAAGCGATACAGCCGTTGGCGCTGTACTGCATCAAATCGTCAACAATGAACCTCAGCCAATGGGATTTTTTAACGTTAAGCTTACTTACGCACAACGCAAGTACAGTACTTATGATCGAGAGCTTCTTGCAATTTACCTTAGTATCAAGCATTTCCGCTACATGCTCGAAGGAAAAATGTTTGATGGTCAGTGTGGACCATAAACCATTGGTATACGCTTTTACGCAAAAATCTGAAAAAGCTTCTCCACGGCAGGTTCGACAGCTAGATTTTATCGGACAATTCACGACATCTATTCTACACATAGCAGGTGTCGATAACATTACTGCTGACACACTCTCTCGCATCGAAACTATTGAAGCCAACATCATCGACTACAATAAGATTGCTGTTGCACAAGCAAGTTGTCCAGAGCTAAAAAAGCTACTTAATGACAACATAACTTCACTTCAAATCAAATCTATCAACTTACCGCAATCAAGTCCTCCAATCTTATGCGATTTTTCTACTTCTACAGTGCGACCATTCATACCGCAGCCACATCGATAAAATATTATCAGCAAGATACATGGCATTGCCCATGGAGGAGTTGGTTCAACAATTAAACTCATCAAACAGCGCTTCGTTTTGCCTTGTATGCATAAAGATATAGCTCACTTCGTCAAACACTGCATCCCTTGCCAAAAATCTAAAGTCACACGCCACGTTCATTCACCACTCCAACAATACACTCTGCCTTCACGCAGATTTGAACACATCAATGTAGATCTCATTGGACCCTTTCCTCAATCTGGTCAATTTAGATATTGTCTCACGATTATCGATCGCTATACCAGATGGCCAGATGCAGTCGCCATTGAGGATATCCAAGCTGAAACAGTAGCCGCAGCACTCATCATTACATGGATTTCTCGCTTTGGAGTTCCAGCACGCATTACCACGGACCAAGGCAGACAATTTGAATCCAGGTTATTTAACGAGCTATCGCGCCTCCTCGGCAGTGACCATTTACGAACGACCGCCTACCGTCCACAGGTAAACGGAATCATCGAACGTTGGCACCGCACGATTAAGGCAGCTATAATGTGTCACAACAGGATCGGCTGGCCATCCAAATTGGCCTCCGCTCAGCATATAAGCCCGACATCCAAACAACAGCAGCACATCTTGTTTACGGTACAACTCGTCGTCGTCCTGGAGAATTTTTCAATAACTCCAGTCAATTTCAACCACAAACCGATTTCGCCAAGGATCTAACAGAGATGATGCGCGAAATCCGACCAATTCAAACATCCAACCACGACTCATCAAAGCCTTCATCTTTAAGCAATTAGCTGATTCAACTCATGTTTTTCTGCGTAACGACACGGTACGTGGATCGCTTCAGACGCCCTATGACGGACCATTTGAAGTAAAATCAAAACAAACCAAATTTTTCAACATACTTATCAATGGTCACGATACCAAAGTATCAATTGATCGCCTCAAACCTGCTTTCATGGAAATACAGCAACAATCAACGACAACCAACGCAGAAGCAACATCGCCATTAGGTCAACAACAAGACGCATCCAAGGATGCTCCCAACACACCTATACCGCTTCAACAATCTACAAGGCATCGCCGCACAATTAGACTCCCCGTTCGTTTCAGAACTTGAAGTCTAGAAGGGGGTACTGTGGCGATCTGGCAGCACAGGAACTGATACATTTTAAGTTTTTTGAATTTCACTAATTTTGAATTTCACCATATTGCAAAAAAGCACGTACAACTTTCTTCTAGCTCGAGCTCTCTAACCTTCAGCTTACACGCATCTAAATATTAACTTTCTTGGTATATAATAAATAAAGCACTATTGCTAAATCGAGATATTTTACTTGTGTTAACGGATGTAGAATTTGACTATTAAGTTCCATCCAAATAACCAAAGATGATTATTCTACAGAATCTAAATATAGATTAGAAATAGCCTATAAAAGAGCTAAAATAATGATAGATAAACATAAGCAGCAAAATAAGGAACTTTATGATAGGAAAACATTAGACCTAAATTTAAGTATAGGAGATAAAGTACTTTTAAAAAATGAAGTAGGTCATAAATTAGAAAATAAATACCTAGGACCATATAGTAAGCTTGATAGAAAAAGATAATGCTTGATAGAAAATAATAATAATATAATAAAAAATACAAAGGGTAAAGAACAAAAAGTTCATAAGGAAAGATTAAAAAATTTGAATACATAATACATCTAAATTTTCTTTATGAATTCGAATGCAAACTCAAAAAAAAAAATATATATATACATAAAATAATATATACTACGGCTTGATCAGCCAAATGAAAAAAAGAAAGAAATATTTTTAAAGAAAAACAAACTATTTTAATGAATTTTTAAACATTTCACTTTTTTATATTTTTATAATTTAAAATTTTTATATTTTTAAATTTTTATATGGAAAGATCATTATATAAAAAAAATTGGTAGGAATTAAATCACTTAAATACAATTAGCCTTCCTAAATAGCTCTCTGGGGCGCTAATGGCGATGGAAATACATGTATGGACGGTGTGGAATCGAAATTACTTTTTTTATTTCTTTTTTCAGATTGCAGACACAGTAACTTTTGGAGCCTTTCACTCACTGTCGGAGATCAATTAAGTTTTTCTTAAATGGTAATATATATAGATATGCGTATATATGCGTATGTACACATAAGACTGAGAGACAAAACTAAAGTTTCGTCTCCTGGTCGACTCTCGGTGTCCGCGATGGGGCGAAAAGACGCCGGTAGTCGTCGACGGGCACTCATGCTTGGATCCTTCTCTCGTCGATGAGATTGGCCGGGCCACAGATGACGGGCTTGCGAGGTGGGTGGGCCAGCATGTTGTCCTACGCGTGGCTCCATGGCTGGCACTCGTATTATTAAAATTTTATTTCCTTTTTATTTTTCATCGTCGTGCTACCAGCCACTGATAATTATGAGGATGGGCTGGGCACTAAATGTGCTAATAAATTTTGGTGCCCGACAAAAAGTTTTTCTTTGATGGTCCGCCACGGAATGATATAGTTGGGTATATTATCTAGGCTATAATGGACGTATTATTTTTGGCTCACTTTCACAGGCGTTTACTGTCGGTTCTCGACAGATATAATCTTTAAAGTATTAATTTTGTTTTTGTGTGGCCGAAATTAAAAACGCACCTTGCGCACAACCCGACCGTATTTTACCGCCTCTCAAATTTTACTCCCTGTTGCTATGGGCAGCAAGGAAACTTGTACCCTAATTTGCCTACCCATACACTCACATTTTCAGTGCATCGCTACCCAAAGGCAGCATCGGCATGGGTTTGTCGTCGGCCAAGGGCACCATAAAGGGTATATTTCCGCTTATTACCCTACGAGCGAATAGGGCGGCCGACCGTCAATGCACTCCCACCTTTTTTTCGCTCAATGCAGTGGTTCCTGAGCTAGACGTTGCCACCCCTGCGAAATTTGGGTCGCTCTAAGGTGCTTAGGGCCCTCACCGATCTATCGATAACTACTAGCGACATATACACACACAAACATTTAAACGGTACCTAGACATAAAGAGAGCATTGAGAGCACTGAGAGTAAGTGCGAGCGAGATAAAAATAAACAGCGATGCCGTTCTATCGCACAAATCATATGGAAGAGAGTAAGCCAAGGCAGTTTCCTTTTGTGTAAGCGATCAAAAGACATCATATCTTACTCGCTCGTTGGACCAGATGCACCGATATTTTTTGTGCCCACTTTGGTAACACGGCATGTCCCATCTATATGTTCTTTGGTAAGTGCTTTAATAAAGCTTGAATGTTAATCGATCCATTCATATTCTGTTTCTCATTCGTTATTTTCTTAGAGTTTGTTTCATTCTTAATATTAATGTATCGTCATATTCATATTCATTTTCTCCATTATTGTTATCTTAAAGTTAGCTTTTGTTCTTAGTATTATACATTTTAATTCAATTGTGACCTTAGATTTAGTTTTCTTCATAATTTTAATACTATTTAGCTTCCGTATTGTGACTCTACGTTACAATAGATATATATATACATATTATTCTAATTATTTATTTTGTTAAAATATTAGCGTTGTTTTTTAAAAGTGTAAATTGTATATGTGCAAATGTATGTAACAGCATGAAGCATCTCCGACCTTATAGAGTATATATATTCCGCAGCATCAATAGCCGATGCAATCTAGCCATGTCCGTCTGTCCGTTCGTATGTATGTATGAACGCAAGGATATCAGAACCTATATGAGCTAGAGGCCGCGCAGTACGCGTTTGTTTCCGATAATCGAAAACTTGCCCTGTTTCCAAGTAATCGATATCGAAATCCTGTTTTTTAAGCAAATCTCGTAAGTTATCAGAGGTAGAGTC